CAACTCGTGTCACCCCCCCCCCGACGTCACCTGTGTGCAATGGACACGTGTCTGTGCACACGCGTGTGCAAGGGAGCCCTGACACGTGTGCACACCTGTATGTGCACACGTATGTGCACACGTATGTGCAAGGAAGCCCTTGTGCAATGCACACGTGTCTGTGCACACGCGTGTGCGAGGGAGCCCCGCACCCTGTGCACGGGGACATCATCCGTGTGCAATGCACGTGTGTCTGTGCACACACGTGTGCAAGGGAGCCCTGACCTGTGTGCACACATATGTGCAAGGGAGCCTGTGTGCAATGCACACGTGTCTGTGCACACGCGTGTGCGAGGGAGCCCATGTGCAATGCACGTGTGTCTGTGCACACGCATGTGCGAGGGAGCTCTGACACGTGTGCACACGTGTGCACCTCCAAGACGGCGCACGCATGTGTAGGTCATGCACGTGCACACGTATGTGCACACGCATCACGCATGTGCAAGGCACGTCCATCTCCACGGCCACGCGTGTGTCCCCTGTGACACGCGTGTCCCCTGAGCACACTCACGTTCTGTGCGTGTTTGGGTCACCCGTGTCACCCGTGTGCGTGTCCCGGAGGTGCTCGTGGTCCCCGCAGCACCCACACATGTCCCCCCGTGTCACGCATGTCCCCTGTCATGCGTGTGGCCCCATGTCACGTGTGTCCCCCGTGTCACCGGTGTCCCCATGTCATGCTTGCCCCCTTGTGTCACCGTCCCCCCATGTCATGTGTGTCTCCTCGTGTCATGCTTCCCCGTGTCACGCATCTCCCCCTTTTGTGTCATGCGTGTCCCCTTGTCACCTGTGCCCCACTCGTGTCATGCGTGCCCACACGTGTCCCCCTCTTGTGTCACGCGTGCCCCCGTGTCACTTTCCCGTGTCACGTGTGTCCCCCGTCATGCATGCTACACGTGTCCCCCTCTTGTCACATGTGTCCTCCGTGTCACATGTGTCCCCCTGTCACGCATGCCCACGCGTGCCCCCTTGTCACGCTTCCCCCTGTGTTATGTTCCCCCGTGTCACACGTGCCCACGCGTGTCCCCCTCTCGTCACGTGTGCCCACGTGTGCCCCTATGTCACACTTCCCCCTGCATTATGTTCCGTGTCACACGTGTCCCCGTCACACGTGCCCATGTGTGTCCCATTTGTCACATGTGTCCCCGTGTCCCCCGTGTCACGCGTGCCCCTATGTCACACTTCTCCCTGCGTTATGTTCCCTGTCACACGTGTCCCCCGTCACGCGTGCCCACGTGTCCCCCTCTCGTGTCACATGTCCCCCGTGTCATGTATGCCCACTCGTGTCATGTTCCCCCTGTGTCGCACGTGTCCCGTCACGCGTGCCCAGGTGCATCCCCCTCTCGTGTCACATGTGTCCCCCTCGTGTCACGTGTCACACGTGCCCACTCGTGACATGTTCCCCCTGTGTCACACATGTCCCCTGTCACGCGTGCCCACGTGTGTCCCCCTCTCGTGTTACATGTGTCCCCCTCTCATGTCACACATGTCCCCCCATGTCACGCGTGCCCACGCGTGTCCCCTTCTCATGTCACACATGTCCCCCCGTGTCACACGTGCCCATGCGTGTCCCCCTCTCATGTCATGCGTGTCCCCCGTCACGCGTGCCCACATGTCACACTTCCCCGTGTCACGCGTGCCCACGCGTGTCCCCCTCTCGTGTCCCCCTCTCGTGTGACACGTGCCCACGCGTGTCCCCCTCATGTCATGTGTCCCCCGTGTCACGCGTGCCCACATATGTCCCCCTCTTGTGTCACATGTGTTCCTCTGTCCCCATCTCGTGTCATGCGTGTCCCTCTCATGTCACATGTGTCCCCCTGTGTCACGCGTGCCCACGCGTCCCCCTCTCGTGTCACATGTGTTCCTCTGTGTCCCCCTTTCGTGTTACATGTGTCCCCCTCTCATGTCACACATGTCCCCCCATGCCACATGTGCCCACGCGTGTCCCCCATGTCCCCAGGCTCTTCAGCGTCACCCTGCAGCGCCTGGTCATGGTGCGGGAGGTGGCCAAGGACCTCAGCTCCGTCGTCATCGCCGCCAAGCTCCAGGTGACACCCACGGCGGGGGGGGGGGGGGGCCCCAGGGGGCCCGGGGGG